AGCGATTAGCCTACAAATCTAATGACCAACTTGCCTCGTAATCGTGCCTCTCGTCGTATCTCGCTCTCGTGTTTTCTGTGCATACATCCCAGGTGAGTTTAGTGATACGCCCTTTGGACGATTCATACGAAAAATCAGACAGCCATTCCCATTTCTTAAATGTCGTAATTAGTAGACCTTTTTGTGTTTTTTTTCGACGCCATCTCAAACTTTCATCGGCGCGATTCCTCAGTTTGCGGACTAAAATATCAACCCGCATGCGCACATCACGTTATCTGTTGCGTCCCCCCCAACACTGAAAACAAAACAAAACGAAAGTAAATTAGAAGAAACACACCACATCACAAACACACACAGGCGCAGTGAAATCGCGTTGATCACACAGTCAACTCGTGTGCGGTGACTTTTATAGTTAAACTATTTTTCGGTACCGTGAAAATGACGCCACGGACACGACACGCTACCGGTAACGATTGTTACTGTCAAATCCTAAGGCTTGCTGTAGTTTTTTTGTTTGTTTGTTTGTTTTGAATGAGAAATTTCCTTCTGTCCCAAAAACGCACATTGTTTGGAACTGTGCGTCCCGTGGGTTAATTTTGCGTCTAGGACGTGGGACGCAGACGTAACGAGATGGCTGATCTCTAAACATTCTCTGAGTACTACTATTATTACCACTCCCACTAATACTACATTAATTAATTTAATACCTTCAACTTCACAATAATAATAAAAAATAATTAAATCAACCATGATTTTAAACTATGTATTATCAATATTCATTATTCCAAACATGAGAAAGCATTCAGCAAACATAACTGGAATCCAGCAAAAGGACTCCAAATCCCAACGGCCAAACCCGGAAGTGAAGTGCCGGCAAAATTGACTCCAGCTGTAACGCAAATTACTTGGTTCAAACAAACATTCTAGTGCCACCGCACAAACGTGACGACTGTGCAAAAATAACTACATAAAAGACACCACTGTTACAGAAAGACTTTACACGCTATTTAAACTGCCGATCGCGAACGGAACAAACCGTGATTGAAATTAACTGTGATGCCGCTCTTTATACGTTGCGCAAACTGTCACCTGTCAGTGGTAGACCCGCCCCTTTTAAAGCGCCAGCTTAATCCATCAATATGGGTTTCCCTGGATGGAATTTATTTGATTCCTTCGTGATTTTTGCGGTCCTCGGACCCACTTTATACCTGTGGACAAGGGATT